TATCTATCCAATCTATTTGTCTGTCTGTCTCTGTCTGTCTATCTATCTATCTCGTCTGTTCATTGATTCATTTGTTTATTTGTTTATCCACCCTACTACATGGAGAGCAGTGTTTGACAAAGATCCAGAGGGAGGTTAATACCCTGGGGGAGAATGAATGCTGAGCAACAGGGTTCAGGATAGGGGATCCCTGGCCTCCCCTTACCTGGAACCCCCTTTTGGGTTCTATATGCCACTCTGAGAGTCCAAGATTCTCTTGAGGGTATTTCTGGGTTGTCTGAACTGGGTCTGCAAGTCATGGGACCACTTAGGGTTGCAAGAGACCTCAGAGGCCATTTACTGTGACCACCTCATTTTCTGTGTGAGCAAACTGAACCCTAGGGGTGTGACGTGACTTGGGATCTTGGAGCTAGAGGTGGAAGGCACCTCAGAGACGATCTAGCCAAACTCTCTAATTTTATGGATGAGGAAACTTAGGTGCTTGCCCGAGGTCCCCTTGGGGATAGTGAGCGGCAGAGCTCGGAATGGCCCAAACCGTCCTCCTACGGTCCTTCTGGCCCAGGGTGACCCCCATCTAGCCCTCATCTCTGTCCTAGTGCTTTTTAGTAGGAAACCAGAACTGGGCTCATCCTATAGAATATGGAATGCTGGTTGGTACAACTTTCACCCCAAGGCATTTGGCTCTTGGTGGGATTCTGTTTAAGTCTTTCCCTTCCATCAAGCTTATGTTGTCTCACTAACATTCTTTTTACTGACTCATAATCTCCTTTCCTTTTCATAGTATAGAATCAGAGGGAGTGTTGAGTAATGGATAGAAAGAAGCTTGGCTTTGGAGTGAAGAAGACTTGGATTCAAATCCTACCTCAGGCACTTACTATCTGTGACCCTGGGCGAGTCACTTCACCCTGTTTGCCTCAGTTTCCTCACTTGTAAAATGAGCTGGAGGAGGAAATGGCAAACCACTCCAGTATCTCTGCTAAGAAAACCCCAAATGGAGTCATGAGGAGTCTGAAATGACTTAACAACAACACAAAAAAACTGTTTCAACAACCACCAAATGACATTCACTAAGCATTTACTGAGTAACTGGTGTGCACAGGGCCCCATTCTAGGGGATCTCACAAAGAATTTCAAAGCATCCTTTGTCCAAAGCTATTCAAGCTATCTGGAGAAGTCTCACTGTTCCTGCTTTGATTGGCCTTTTTTCTTCAGGTTTCTTACCCCTTCTGTCAGTAGGGACTCTAGGCATGGGATCCTAGGTCTGGAGGTGAAAGGTACCTCAGATGCCATCTGGTCCAACCCCTTCGTTTTACAGGAGAGGAAATTGAGGTCCAGAGAGAGGAAGTATTTTGGAATCATAGCCTCCTAGATTTAGGATGGGCTCTCAGACGCCACAGAGTCCATCTTCCTCATTGTACGGGCCCAGGGAAGTTAATTTGACCTTGAACGTTTCTCTTCAGCAAGTCTGCCTGGAAGTTTCCACCCCCTATCCTGCATAAAGCCTACAAAAAGGGAAGAAAGCACACTGTACCCCTTATGGGATTGCTGTCTGTTTTCTTTCTTTCTTGGTCATATTCTTTTTTGTTTTTTTTCCTTTTTGTTTTTTTTGGTTTCTTTTTTCTCTCCAAGCATATAGGCCAATCCTTACTTCCAAAGCTGTGCTCACACCTGTCTCCATTGCTTATAAACAGAGGTGTTGAACACGTAGTATGAGACCAGCAACACTCCAGAGTGCAGCCCAAAACAGATTAAAATGTAACAGGGAAATATTTAACACAACAGAAATACAATGAAGCAGAGATAACATTACATTTTAAAACTAAGTCAATACGGTGCCCTTGGGGATCCTTAAGTATGTATTGAGTGGCCAAACAGGAAGCCAGGCTGTGTATGACAAGTCAGAGAGTGAACTAGTCAAAGCTGGGGACAGGTGATCTGAGTTCAAATCCCAGCTTTCTTCTTACTATGATACAGTTTTGGAAAAGTGTTTTCTCCTCCTTGCTCTCACTTGACCCACATGTAAAATGAGGGGGCTGGACCAGAGGACCTCCCCCGTTCCTTTCAGCTCTGAACCTCCTGATTCTATGGGTTCAAGGCAGCCAAGAAGCAGCTTGGAATGCTAGCTTCCTCCTGCTGTCAGTGCTGGCTGCTCCGATAAAACCAGCTCAGGGTTCCATGTGCCCAAATGCCAGAGCTATTAATCACCCCTCCTGAAGATAACACAGTCAGTGCTGCCCCAGTGGTTGGGATGGGCAGAGCAGGGCAGAGGTGCCGATTTCTGTTCCTGGAAATGCTGGTGGAAGACATAAGACTCCAGCTTTGAGACCAGGGGGGATATTGCATCTGCTGCTTGGCCCTGTGCTCCCTGGACCATCAAAACGAAATTCAAGTACCAGCACACACCAAGCCCTTTCCGAGATTCTTAGAAAAATTTGTTTTCCTTGGTTTTCCAGTCTAGAGACCTGGTTCTTCAGAACACACCGGAAGAGAATGAGAATCATAGGATCACAGATTCATAGATTTAGACTGGGAAGGGACTTTGGAGGCCTTCAAGTCCAATCCCCTCGTTTTACACATGGGGAAACTGAGGCACAGGAAGTTTAGTAACTTTCCACGGAATTCAGTAAATGTCTGAAGTGGGATTTGAATCCAGGTTTTCTTGATTTAAAATACAGCACTTTTCTCCAATATTCCCATGTTGCCTGGCCCAGGGGAATTAAAAGACTTGACTAAGGTCACACAGGTAAGTCTGATCCTTCTCCTCATGGAGCTTACAGAATAGTAAGGGGCTATGATGCAAACACAGAAAATGGAAAATGTATAATATTACATCAAATAGGAGGCAGGGTGGTATAAGTGAATATATATGTATACATCGATATTACACACACACACACACACACACACACACACACACACACACACACACA